CATCATGAATTAAAATTCCAAATCAAAGATGGACATATTTATATAAGATCCGCAGATATATACATATATATATAATTTATTTTTTATATAATTTATTTTTTTAACCAGTCTCAGCATTTCAAATATTCATCATAGCCATAACCAGTATGAAATATCAACATTCATCAACTAATTTCTGCAATTTCAACACATTATATTACAACATTTTAGATATGTCTTCCACATACAACCAGTTTTATATCATCCACCGAACAATAGAAAATACACTCGGCCACACATATTGTGGGTTCTATCCAGGTTTGTTCATACATCAACTCATTCTTAGCTAAAATAAAAGTATATATGCATTAATTTTTCAATATCAAGCGAATAAATAAGGCCAACTTAGGTAAACTCCATTTACTTAGAATAGATTTTCTTAGATCAAAATTTTCTTGAGTCCCAAAGAGTGAAACAAGGCCCAAGGTAGTTAGATCTCCTTATTATCATGAAATGAAGACCTTTGAGGAGAGAAATCAAGGAATAAAGAGTAGAATATGAGAATCAAGTCCTAGAAACTCACGTAGATCCACACTTAATGGATGTTCCCACTTGGATCGGGAAAAAGTTTAGCCTCAAGAAGGTTTTTTCTAAGGGGAAAAGGTGAGAGAACAAAGAGAAAATGAGAGAGGAAGGCTGTTTGATGAAAAATGAATGTTTTTCTGCGCTAAGGTCCCTTAAATACCTTTCCAGGTCTGTGCGCTCTGGCTTGAGCGAGCTCTACTCTCGCCTGGGCAAGCTCATTCTTGCCGTGGTGAGAAAACCAAATAGTGAAACTACCTAAATTTATACTATTCTTGCTTAAGCGAGAGACATCTTGCCTGACCAAGCTCCATCTCGCCTAAGCGAGGTCGCTTCTCACCTAGGCGAGGGGAAAGTTGGGAGGTCTTATCTTATCTAGCTTGAGAGACTAATTTGAGTGAGATCGCTCTATAATGCTCAAATTAGCATGAACCAATCTTGCTTGAGTGAGGCACACCTTACTTGAGCAAAAATTCTTGCACCTAATACTCTCTATCTTTCCCAGAATGAGGCAAAACAAGTCCTCGACTATAATTCATAGGTTATTACATACATAACACACTTAATGATTGATCACAACATGCACTACTAATCACAGCCAACAAAACTATCACACAGAACTGCGAATATACAACTCTTTATTCAACAATTATATAGCTCTCATATTTATACTCTAACATATGAAAATTCATATAATTCAAGCATATACAACACAATTCAAAAGTAATAATACATATAAAAATATACAGGTCTAACATAAAGTATCTTGAAATGTGAATTTATAAGAAGGGTTGATACATAATCGCTCTTCAAATATGACTTTAGAAAGCAATTAATATGTAACTACTCTCCAAATATAATTTTAGAGAACAGTGAATGCATAACTGTAGCCATCTTTAAAAGTAGTTATGTTATTTTACTTTGTAAATAATTGCTTTGATAGATCTAAATTGGTGCAATGAAATTTGTAAATAATTTTATTTTAATTAAAAATTAATTAAGTTATTTTAATTGTAAGAAGGGTTGATACATAATCACTCTTCAAATATGATTTTAAAAAGCAATTAGTATGTAACTGTTCTCCAATATAATTTTATAGAGCAGTGAGTACATAATTGTAGCCATCTTTAAAAGTAGTTATGTTATTTTACTTTGTAAATAATTGCTTTGATAGATCTAAAATAGTGCAATAAAATTTGAAAATAATTTTATTTAAATTAAAAATCAATTAAGTTATGTTTTTAAAATTACATAATTCTTTGTTCTTCATTGTATTAGTATAAGTAAAAAAAAATAAAATCATATTGTTGAGTCAAAATTTAACTTTTATATTTATTTTTTTTCCTATTTGTTTGTTTCGTTAGTGTAAATTTGTATAATTGATTTCAGATAACAATCTTAAAATGGATGCGTTATATTAAATTAAAATATTTTTAAAATAAAATGTAGGTTTTTTTTACACAACTTTTAAATTTTTATATATTTTATAAATATTTTTTATAATAATAAATATGATAAATATTTTATTATTATGAATAAGATTAAGTTAAAATATTCTATATTAAAGAAATAAACTCTAAATACACTAATAATTTGAATATTTTATCACATTGTCACTTAATCATTAATTATTATATTAGAAAGATTTCTGAATTTTTGTAATAATTAAAATAAAAATTATATTTATAATATATTTTAACTAGTTAATAATATAAAAAATTTTACATGCACAGTATACTAAAATTAAATTCATTTTAATAAATATACCATAATACGTAACAGGATGCAAAGGGCTAATAAGTTTTCATATTCTCATTTTTGTAAACTGAATTACATTCTTAATAGACGCAAAGAGATAAATAAACCCTATTTTATTTTAAAATTAGTAATTATCACATTACATGATAGAAAATAATTTTACATAATTATTTACTTTAAAAAATTAGTAATTATTAATTTTATAATTTATATGTTAGATATTACTTTTTAAAAGCTTGTTTTTAAAAGTTATATGTTGCGTTTGATTTATTGTTACCAAACAATTTTACTAATTTAATTTTTTTAATTAGCTTTGAATTTTCGTTAACAAATTAGACTCACTAAAAAAAGTGGAAAAAAAATTACATTATAATTCAATTATGAATTATCATATAATTAATTTTTTTTATCTTTTTCAATATAATTACTTTAAAAGTCGTATTTATAATATATTTAATTAGTTAACAACATATAAATTTTATCAATGGAAATATATCAAAATTAAACTTTTAAAAAATATGTAAAAAAAATTGTAAGCACCAATTTCTTTCTTCCTGTATATGTACATGTCTTCGTAATTGGAAATATCTATTTGAATACACAAAATGTAATGTCGAAGAGAATATAATTTTGAGCAAGTTTCTATACGTAGAAAATGTGGCGCAAAAATGAGTTAGAAATTTAATCAGTAATAGCATATTTTAAAAGTTTTTTTTTTTTTTAATTCTTGAAATATTTTAGATTGCTAATTGCTAAGACATAAATGTTTTTTATTGACTAAGTCCTTAAAATATTTTTATGTTCGAGTCCAAAACTTTTATATTAATAAATAAATCCTTAATTTATAATATAGTTTAACTTTTTGTAAAAAAAATGTCCGTAAAAATTGTATGCTTAGAAAACTTTTTGCATATATTATAAATAATTTAAGACTGTTTAATCACTTTTATTGTAACATCCTCTTTTGCATTGTTTAAATAATTGATGAATTATTTAGTATTATACAGTGTTAGGATGTGTCTAGAAATATATTTTGAGCATTTTGAAGAAGTATGGTGCAAGAGATTTCATTCAGGTGAGATAAGTCTCGTTCAAGTGAAACTAAGCATCCAAAATTGCATGTTTTCAGCGCAATCTCACTCAGAGGAGATGATTCTTACTCAAGCAAGATAGGATAAATTTAGCTAAACTGTTATCTTGCTCAAGCAAAAGTGATCTCGTCCAGGTGAGCTAAGATCTCGCTCAAGCGAGTTGAGTCGTTCAGGCAAGTTGAGTCGCTCAAGTGAGAACTCATAGGAAAAAAACTCAGCTCTCTAGATGTCATCTCACTCAAGCGAGATAGGGTTCGCTCAAGCAAAAATATCAGCAAATAGTTGGGAAAACCATTGTCTGCATATCTCACCCAGGCGAAAAGGAACTCGCCCAAGCGAGGATATCGTCGCTCAAGCGAGAATGTGCAAGATTTATGAGTATTTAAGGAATTTTTGACCTCACTGACTAACGGTATTTTTAAAGTAAATCTAATGGTTAAAAGTTTCTTGCTTATTTAGGCACTATTAAATATGATAACTCAAGTTAGACTCCCCTTATTTTAACCTAGTGCTACATGTGTGATGAATATTTGATATATATAATGAGAAACTTAATTTTTTTAAGCGTTTAAATTTCTTTTAATAAAAGTACTTTGTTTGGATATTAAATAAATTTAAAATTCTAGAGTATTTAATTTTAGATATTTTATTGGAGGATTTATAATTACATTAAAAAAGAATTATAAATTCCTTTCATAGATTGTATCATCGCCAGATAAATTACTTTTTTTTCTCATTCTTTATTATTTTCCTCCATTAATCTCTTATTTTCACTGCAAATCATCTATAAATGTTTTTTCCGTGCAACAGAAGCATACTAGTGGAAAACTTCAATATTGAGGTCGTTCGTTGGATATTATCCAAACTGAATATTTTTCAAATGGATGATATTAAGAGTTTTTTTATTTAATTTTAATTTTTAAAAATTTATATTTTAAAACAATTTTATTAAATTGTTTTTAAAAAGAAAATAAAAATAAAATTTATTTGGTAATTTAGTTATAAAATTTTTTAAAATAAAAAATAAGAAAATTTGTTTGATAAATTTATTTTTGAAAACAGGTTTTAAAATTATAAGCAAGAGCTTTCAAGTTAATTTGAAAATAAGAAAATAAAATTGTAATTTTATTTTCAGATTAATTTAAATACAATGGTGTGTTTTTTTTTTAGTTTTTGTTGGATATTGTCCAAACTGGATAGGTTTCAAATTGATAATATTAAATTATTGTAATTCTAATTTCATGTTATTTTAAATTCTTTTGAACATATATATATATATACTGCCTTTCACGTGTTGTATAGTACAAATTTATCATCTAAGAATGCAATTTCCTGGATCACACATTGGAAAGCAGCAAGAAACCCGTGAGACTCGTTAAATAAAATAATAATCCAAACCTAGACGAGTCACCTTCCGTAGATGTACATAAACATTTGTCGTCGTACATCGTGAAAGATTCCTGATTTGACATCTTTCAAGCCACACATATTAAAAGCCACAATCCACAACTTTCATGCACACCAAACATTGCACAGCATCCTTATTTGACTAGAAGTGGAAGCAATAAGGTTCTCTCTACGTTTAGGTTCAGGTATATAAGTTTACCGATTTTAGGAGTACAATGGTTTTAAATTTGAATTACTGGTTTTAGTTTTGATTAGATCCTATTGCTAAAATTTGGTGCGACTTCTTGCAGTTTCAAATGGACAAAATTTTGAAGCTACTGATTTTATGCGTCGCATGCGCTTGTTCATTCTCTGCACTGAGATGTGCCGCAAGAGCCGATCCTCCATTAGCAACAAATGAGGACCCCGTTAAATTTACTACTAAAGATGCCACTTCAAAAAGCTACAAGCAGTTCATAGATGCGCTTCGAGGGAGACTAATGGGTGGGCTGATACATGAGATACCTGTGCTTCGAGATCCAACATCAGTGGAAGAAAGACATCGATATATTACAGTCGAACTCTCAAACTCGGACACGGAATCTATCGAAGTAGGTATCGATGTGACTAATGCATATGTTGTAGCATACCGAGCAGGAACTGAGTCCTATTTCCTCCGTGATGCCCCAGCATCTGCATCTACTTACCTTTTCACTGGCACGAACTATCACTCACTTCCTTTTAATGGTACTTACGGTGATCTAGACAGATGGTCTGATCAGACTAGAGAGCAAACTTACCTAGGTTTAGAGGCCTTGAGACATGGGATATCATTTCTACGAGGTGGTGCCAATGACAATGAAGAAAGAGCTCATATCATGATCGTGATAATCCAAATGGTTGCAGAAGCAGCTCGATTTAGGTACATAGCAAACCGGGTTGGTGTCAGCATCCGGACGGGTACGGCATTTCAACCAGATCTTGCCATGTTAAGTTTGGAGAACAATTGGGATAATCTGTCTGGAGGTGTTCAACAATCCGTGCAGGATACTTTTCCAAATGCGGTCACCTTAAGAAGTATTACTGACCGACCTGTTATCGTAGATTCCTTTTCACACCCAACAGTTGCAGTTCTAGCATTGATGCTTTTTATCTGCAATCCCCCAAATGCAAACCAATCACCTCTGTTAATAAGATCAATTGTGGAAAAATCAGACACGTGCAGTCCAATTGAACCAACCGTGCGCATTGGTGGTCGAGATGGAATGTGTGTGGATGTCTCGAACAATGCCTATAACAATGGCAATTCTATCATAATGTGGAAATGCAAAGACCAGCTTGAAGAGAACCAGCTGTGGACCTTGAAACGTGACAAGACGATAAGGTCCAAGGGGAAGTGTTTAACCACTTATGGTTATGCTCCAGGAAATTATGTCATGATATATGATTGCAATTCAGCAGTACTTGAGGCCACTTATTGGGAAATATGGGACAATGGAACCATTATCAATCCAAGGTCAGGCTTGGTCTTGAGTGCTGAATCTAGTAGCATGGGAGGGACACTCACCGTGCAAACGAACGATTACCGAATGCGACAGGGGTGGCGTACAGGCAATGACACAAGCCCTTTCGTAACTTCAATCGTTGGGTATTTGGATCTCTGCATGGAAGCTCACGGAAGTAAAGTGTGGGTGGCTGACTGTGACAGCAACAAGAAAGAGCAGCAATGGGCACTTTACCCAGATGGTTCTATACGTCCAGTGCAATCTACAAACAACTGTTTAACTTCTGGAGCACACGACCAAGGAGTTACCATTGTCATTATGGGTTGTAGCAATGCATGGGCTAGCCAACGATGGGTGTTTAAAAACGATGGTACCATTTATAGTTTATTTGACGACATGGTGATGGATGTGAGACAATCTAATCCAAGTCTTAAAGAGATAATACTTTGGCCGTACACTGGTAAACCTAACCAGATATGGCTTACTGCGTTTTAGGGGCTTCCCGCCTAACCAAATGCTGTCTGCCTCTATAATGTCTAAATAAGTGACGGTATCTATCGTTGTGCAAAAACAGTCATGAGCTTATGCTGCCTTGCAATGGTTTTAGTAATGAGAATCTAGATTGCTTCAAATCAAAACATTTTAGAATCTAACCAGTTAAATCGATAAAATTGGAAAGCTAAAATCATAATCAGAAAATCGAAATATAAAGCTAGATACCAAGGGATTCAGTTTCAAAGCAATACAAGAAGATCAGTGAATATTTTTAGTCACCAAATAATTTTTTGTCATTATAGTAACTAATTTAAAGATCGAATGTATTATTTATATACTCATTGAGCGATCGACCACTTTTCTTAGAAAATTAGCGACCAAAATAAACCTAAATACAAAAGATTCAATTCCAAGGCTAGTCCTTCATTCTTCCATTTAACAAATTATGTAGCAAACTGAGTATAATCTTAACATAACTAGTTCCTTCACATCAAAATTACAAAATTAAAATTTACACAAAGTAATCTACAATAAACTTACAATTAATATAAATCTTGGATATATACACTAGCAACCCTTCTAACATGGAAAAAAGAACTCAAGAAAAAAAGAATTAAGGAAGGTAGGGCCTACTCTAGCCAATTTTAAAGGAAATGTAGAATTTCCATTGCAATTAATATCTCTCATTAAAAAATGCATATCCACGGATAATTTGAATGTCATATTTAGTCTAGTCCATAGTTTTGTTAAGAGGTGTAAGACCACCTAATAATGGACAGAAATGATTTATTTGAATTTTAATTTATGTCCAAAAAATTAAAAAGAAAAAAACAACAACACAAGTTCACGGTGCATATTTTATTGTTGAGATGTTCTTTAATGACAATGAATATTGATTGAGTCATGATTCATACAGTTTCTAACCACAATAGAAAATATTAGGAGCACAAAGGTCGAGTGAAACTTGAACCGATATACAGAACACTGCACAATTTTATTTTTGTCCTTGAGCAAATTAACAAAGCTATTATATCGTTAAATAACATAGAAGTTTCATATCCATGTTTTTAACTTTCTTCCACAAAAGACCACCTAGTTTTATATCCACGAGACTATAGAATTGTCACATGTATCACCCATTGATAACACTACACAATGATTTCTTAAATTTGACATGAATCACTCAAAAATTAAATATACAAATAGCTTTAAATGAAAAAACATAAACTCAAATTACAATTCTTTCTAAAGTTAGTGTTTTACTCTGACTCTTAAGTATTTAAAGACAATGCTTACTTTCAACTGTCAACTCACATTAAGATTTGTTACTATAGAATTCATAATATTTTAAGATTTTCACTATTTATGTACATGCAAATAAATATTAACAAAAAGACTTGTTTTGGTTCTAGTAAGACTTAAGTCAAGGTGGATAATGGATAATATTGATCAACGTGGCTAACTAAAAAATTTAGTAACATAATAAGGTATCTAAAGATAATTTGGTGACATAAACGGTAAAAAAAAGACACTGAAAAGAGTGGTTCTATAATGTGTTGGTTAGCGGTTTAAATTATTCTAACAAACATTGTTATGAAAAATAGATGCATTTGTAGAGTAATCACTCTCCAAATGTCACTTCTAACAACTATCCAAATATTTTGTATAAAATCACAAAACTAAAATTTAAAATGTCTTGTTTTGAGTCTTTTTATTACAAACTAAAATAATTTTTTATTATCGCATTGAAACTCAAGTCTATAATTTAAAATTTAAAATTTCTTTCTTCATGAGTTGAGAAAGAAAGAGAATGAAAAAAAAAGTGAGTAAGGTACCTATAATTGTACAAGACACCAACCTTATTAGCAGAAGGAAGGACACATTATCTTTGTTACACTGATGAAGGTAATGAGAGAAGAGAAAGAAAAAGATATGACACTACTACTACAAGTTGAGAGACTTTTCAATTCATGTATTTATAAATTAGTAGTTAGACTATTTTAAAATTTTAATTTATGAGAACGGTTGGTATTTAACCATTCTCAAAGTAATTTTTAGAGTGATTCTCCAAAAATAATTTTTAAAAAATGGTTATGTGTTAACCACTTCCTAAAGCCACTTTTAAATAATATATTATTTTGTTATATAATTACTCTACAAATGACTACTTCAAAAGATTTAAAATTGTGTAGTGCTTCTCTTTAATTACAAGCTTTCGTTGTGTTAATTGAATCAATTGGTTATGCACACTTTAAGAATATTATTACTTTCATCATTTCTAACTTCTATATATGACATCAACGATTAGGACATGCACATCTTCATGCTGTAAATATTTTATTTTACGTAAAATATTTCATGTAGGTGAAAAGTTTGTTAATACTATTTTTTAAGTCACCTAAAGATTCTAAAGTAAGATAATTTGTGATAAATTTGTGAATAATTTATTTTTACTATGTTTTTATCTTAATTAAAAATCTTCTTTGGTGGCTGGCAGAACTGATTTTGATGAAAACATCCTTAGATTTAGCTTGTTAGGATATTGTGTATGCATTTATTAACCATCTAATTTGTTTAAAGTTCTCTAAAGTTTTTAAAATAAAGAAGAAAAATTCATATTTTTAGTTATATATATATTGAAACAACTGAATTCTGAATTTATGTATTTGAACAGAAACAACACAATTACAAGGAACAACTCGAATGATAATGAATTCTCAATCAATTACACGGAATCAGTCAATTATATATTCAAGAACAAGCTGAATACAAAAAAGAATCCAAACCTCAGGAGAAGTGCAGGAAAGAAAGAATAGCAGAGAGAGGATACATCAATCTTTAACCAACCTCCTTCTCATGGCACGAAATCAATTAAATACACATTTTTCTTTCTCTGTCTATTGGTTCTCCTTAACCTCACCTTTTCTGGATATGGTTCCACGTGTCAAACTATTGTAACTAATTCTGTTTCCTCATTCTCCTTTCCCGCGCCAACTTTACATGTTACAATACCCTTCTCTTTAACATCAACCTTGTCCTCAAGGTTGAAACGTGGATAAATTGATGTGATGCTCGCCATATCTTCCCAAGTAGCATCTTCTAATCCTCCCACATTCCACTGAATTAACACCTGAGTTTTCTGATGCAAATCCTACACTATATGTCGAATACCCAACACTTTTAATGGCTGTAACATAGGTATTTCCTCAGTTGTACTCAAAGGTAGAGGAAAATACTGTTGAGTGAAATCTCCATGAAACTTCTTTAACACAGAAATATGAAATACAAGATGTATTTTAGCTGTGTCGGGTAGCTTGAGCTTATAAGCTACTGCGCCTACCCTCTGCACTACTTCAAATGGCCCAAAAAACTGCATTCTCAACTTCTGATTTCTCCCTAATGCCACCAAATGTTGCCTATACGGTTGCAACTTCACCAAAGCATAATCTCCCACCTCCAATTGAAAATCTTTTCGCTTTTTATCTGCTTGTATTTTCATATAATTTTGAGCTTTAAGTAAATTTAGCTTCAACTGATGTAAAAGAACATCTCGAGCTCTTAAAGTCTCCTGTAAACTTATAGGATCACTGGAATCTTGCTCATAAGGAAGCACCGTAGGAGGGTCCCTACCAAATACTGCTTTAAAGGAAGACATGCCTAAGCTATGATGAAAGGAAGTGTTATACCAGAATTGGGCCCAAGGTAACATAAGACACCACAACTTTGGATTATCAAATACAAAGCATCTGAGATACATTTCCATTGTTCTATTGAGATTTTCTGTTTGGCCATCACTTTGAGGATGATAAGCAGAACTCATAGCTAATGATGTACCCTGAGCCTTGAATATTTGTTTCCAAAAAGAGCTAATAAAAACTCTATCTCTGTCAGATACAATTGTTTTAGGCATTCCATGAATTTTGACCACAAAATTAATAAATGCTTCTGCGACCATCTTACTGTTAAATTCAGCTTTGAGAGGAATGAAATGACCAAATTTGGACAATCTATCCACAACCACCAAAATAGTTGAATAACCATGAGAAATAGGCAGATTTGTAATGAAATCCATTGTAATATCATCCCATATCTTGTTATGGTATTAACACAATGCGAAAGACTGGATCGAATTTAATTAGAAATAAAGAGAAGTAAGAGAATAATGGAGACAAGATTTTAACATGAAAAAACTCCAAATCAGAGAAAAAACCCACGGACGATGACGAGCAAAATAATTCCACTATATAAAAGGGAGAGTACAAGAAGTCTTCTAAAATTGTGAGGACAGAGAGTAATAATCTCTCTATTTTTCTCTCAATAAATACTCTCTCAAAATGGAATAAGAACTACAAAATAACACTTTCAATTTTCTCTCAGTGTTAATTGATCCGTGAATGATCGTATATCAACCTCCGTTGCTTCGTTGCCTTTTATAGGCAAAATTTGCTACAGTGTTTGTTATTTTTTCAATGTTGCTACAGTAACTTACTGTAGCATTTTGACAAAGTGAGCAATGCCTACACCGACGCCTATGCCTTTGCTGACAAAGTTGAAAACTGAGACATTCTTTTCATTTTGACTAACAATCTCCACCTTGGATCAGTTTTAATAAATTACTCGCGTCGTTTAAACCCCTGAAGGGCGTTCAAGTGCAGTAGAGACTAACCCAGTCCAACCAATGCTGGAACTTGGCCTTTGGAAGAGGCTTAGTAAGCATATCAGCTGGATTCTCATATGTATGGATCTTCTGAACCACGACTTCACCCTTAGCAACAATTTCTCAGATAAAATGATGTCTCACATCAATATGTTTTGTCCTGTCATGGTAGAGATTATTCTTGGTCAAGTAAATAGCACTCTGACTATCACAAAATACAGTAAGAACATCCTGTGTAAGACCAAGTTTATTGATCAGACCTTTAAGCCAAAGAGCCTCTTTCACACCTTCTGTTGTTGCAACATATTCAACTTTAGTAGTAGATAATGATGGAAGTGACTGAAGCTGAGCTTTCCAACTAATACCACAATTATAGAGAGTAAATATGTAACTAGAAAGAGATCTTCTTTTGTCAAGATCGCCACCATTATCCGAATCAACAAAACCTGTAACTTTAGTTGTTGCATGATTTCTATCAAATATCAAGCCAATATCAGAAGTACCTTATAGATACCGAAAAATCTATTTTACAGCACTTCAATGATCCTTTCCAGGATTATGCATATACCGACTCACCATACTAAGGGCATATGCTAAATCAGGTCTAATGCATACCATAGCATACATAAGACCGCCAACAGCACTAGCATAAGGAACGCGTGACATACGCTTAATGTCTTCCTTTGTCTCAGGACAAAGATCATATGATAACTTGAAATGTGCAGCAAGTGGAGTAGAAACAGGTTTGCAATTAGACATATTAAACCTATCAAGTACTTTCTCAACGTATTTTTGTTGAGATAGGAACAATTTACCAACTAGACGATCCCTGCAAATCTCCATACCAAGAATCTTCTTAGCTGTACCCAATTCTTTCATCTCAAACTCATTATTGAGTTGAGTTTTCAATTTCCTGATCAGAGACTTGTCACGTGATGCAATCAACATATAGTAACAAGTATATGTAAGATCCATCAGGAAGTATTTAAAAATAAATACAGTCATCATATTGACTTCTGCAATAACCTTGCCCAATCATAAAGGAATCAAACCTTTTGTATCATTGTCCCGGAGCTTGTTTAAGTCCATATAAAGATTTTTTTTAATCGGCAGACAAGATGCTCCTTACCAGGGACAACAAATCT